TTGGGTTCGTATTTCCTAGATGTTCAGTTCGACTGTAAGTTTGCTGAAATTGGAGTTCGGATGGTCTCCGATTTTATTTTTGAAAGTTTCCAACTTGATTTTGCATCGAGATTCGTGCCGATCAAGATAATTTTTTGATGAAGTATCAAAGGTTTTTCACGGATAAGAACCCAAATTCATGTAAATCCCTAAAGATGCATAAGAGTCTACCAAACAAACAGCAACAATTAAAAGAAAATGTCGGAAACAGAATTAAGAAATTAGTCCCGCTGATCAAAATTTTAGGGGTCGTTTGGTTACAATTAGGATTTTGTAAATCCAGACAAAAACATGAAAATTAAATGAATAAGGATTCACAGAGAAACCAAGTTCCTGTAACAATCAGCAGCTGTGCTCATGAATAACAAAGATCGCCTATTTCAAATCTCAAAACAGTTAAGTTCAAGTAAAACAGTAGGAAAATAAACATCCAAAATCAAAGTAGAATTAAACCCTATAAACGTTGAAGCAGGTTTTAAGGGCCTGCCTCGAGTAACGGTTAAGGGCCTGGCAAAGGCCTTCCGAATCACCCTCCTCCCTGTAAACATCGGCCTGCCCATGAACAGTATAAAAGAACAAATATTCATAGAATTATAGTGAGAAAATCAGAAAAATACAAAGGAGTCATGAGAAAAAAACAAAGCGACAGACCTCCTTAACGATTTTGTTAGCGATTCTGTAATAGAAAGAAAGCGGGAAGCGATTGTCGACGAATACTGCCATCTCTCTCCTCACTACAACTATTATTCTATCACTAAAATATTTCTGAGTGGGCCGAGAAAATGAAGATTATCACGGAAGGATGAAGATAGAGATTAAACAGAACTCGATTGTTTGCTTTTCTTAGTGGGTCTCCAATCGCCAAAATGGAAGCAAAGTGTCCACTCAAAAAATTTTTGTCTGCTAACTTAATATGTAGAAATTATTAGTGAATTTGAGAAATTTTATTTTATAGGCTCCTTAACGGCCAAACTGTGTTTTTTTTCTTTTTTTTTTACGTCCAAAATTTTGTTTTGGATTAAATTATTCATCTTGCATTCACAGACTGTATTGAACTCCATTTCAAGTAAAAATAGTTAAAATTAACTCAAAATACAACTTTAAATCAAGCCTAATTCAAAAATAGATAGAACTTGTGTCATTGAAAGTCTTTTGAGTAAGATAGTGGTACTATAGTGTACCTAAATAGGAATTTTTTGGGGGCTCTTGAATGAGACTCAAAGGTAGTTGGAGCTTGCATCGCTCCACAAGACTTCTTTTAGGGGCTTGTATACGAGATCAATATAAGTTGCAAGAGCTGGCATTATAAGACCTCGACATGGCACGATTCGACAATAGTTAATTAGGAGCCAGCGTTGGCAGAAAGGACTGACAAAGCTCGCTAAAACTTGCATCATGTGATTGGACTGACGGAACTTATGGCTAGCTACTTGCACTGGAGGAAACTAGGGATTGACGACGTGCAACAAGCTTGTTTGGGAAAAAATCACAAGACCCGTGAGTGTGAAGGCTCAAATAAAGTTCAAAGTTCAAACAAGTTCTATCGAATCTTAACTCATTGTTTACACCTTTTTTGCACAAAAGTTAAATTTGAATCAATTCGGACTAATTTTGTTCACTATAAAACGCTCTCTTTGAAATAAAATTTTGACCATATTCTTCTAAAAAAAAATTATATATGTATCTTCGAAGTCTAATATATCAGGCATTTTAAAATTGATTTTGTTTGGAGCAGATTTCTTAATATTTTTAAAAATAATTTTTTTAATACAAATTTTTTTTATTCAAATTATTTTTTATAATAAAAAATAATAATTCTATACGAAGCCGAAGTCTGCAATTAGACGTTGAACAATAAATAACATGAAGGCGATGTTCATCTCATCCGTTTTCCTCCCGCCAGCGCAGAAAGAGCTGTCACCAAGCGTTCTTTCAACATGCCTCCGTCCGAAGTTTGGACGTTTCTGAGAAGCGATGAAGACTCATAAAAGCTTTTCTTTATTACGTTTTCCCAAATAAGCGAAAATTTTGGGACGTTCAAAAAAAGCAAATTTTAAAACAATATGTTAGATTTTACAATTAGAAGAAGGAATATAACATTTTCTATATGATACATCATCAAAAAATTATCTTGATCGGGCACGAATCTCGATGCAAAATTGAGTTGGAAACTTCTAAAATTAATTCAGAGACTTTTTTATTTACTAAATTTAAATTTTTATAGCTTAAAAATTTTGTAAAATTCATTTGATATTGATGCATGTGAATTTTTAATGTAATATTTATGATAGCAATATCTTAATTTTTATAATTTTTAAGAAGTTTTTTTTTTGAAAGATATTATTTCCATGCCCATATTGTATTATTTGTTTGCTTTCTTATTAATTTAACATTTTTTTGTGTAATCTTAGATTCATTTGAAATAACTTTTTTTAATGCTTTTTATACTTTTTAGTTTTTAGTACAAAAGTTTCTTAAAAATAGTGAAAAAATAATAACATTCAAAAGCTGTATCAAATGAAATATAATTTTTTTGCCACTTTCTAAAACAACATTTTAGTATAAAAACTTTTATACTAAAAGCCATTTTGGACTAAGAAAGCTATCCTAAATGAAGTTTTGGGTTTTATTTGGAACAACTTTCTTACCGCTTCTTAAGTCGTCTTTCTAGTACAAAATTTTAATTTTTTTAAAAAGCGATAAAGAAAGTCATTACAAATGAAGCTTTAGGTTTCGTTTGGAACATCTTTTTTAATGCTTTCTAAAACAACATTTTAGTTAAAAACTTTCTTGAATTATAAATTTTTATACTAAAAAGTTGTTTTAGAAAGCACTAAGAAAGCCGTCCCAAACGAGGCCCTTAGCCTTATCTTTATTTTTTGAGGAGTATAATCCATTAGTTAGCATTGACTATTTACTATTTTGATGTTGAACACCAATAAAATTATATAAATGTTATTTGATCAGGTCCAGGTCAAGACAATCATTCATAATACTATTAGTAATATGAACAATATGAGTATCATAATCTCGTCAATTCACGCTTCTATAACGGTTTAATTTTCTCAGAAGTGAAGCTAAAAAAAAAACGAAATGATTGAATGCTTATCTTTTAAGACAGTAGCTATACATGTTGCAGAAGAGATGATGCGCAAGGTAAGGCAGAATTCTGTAGAAATACTCTGTTAAGCTGAATCAGGTTTTACTAACAGTCGTCTTGCAGACAGGGCATGCGTTCTTCTGAAGAAGCCACTTCTTTATGCAGCACGGGTGATAACTATGGCCACAGCCCAGCTTTCCCACCTCAACATTCATTTCAAATTCCTCCTGCACAAATTAAAAATAAAGGAAATAGCAATGCAATTCAAAGAACGTCAACATTTGGTTCAACATTTTTAGGCCTTGTTTGGGACGCTTTCTTACTACTTCTTAAAGCAATTTTTTAATACAAAATTTTAAAATTATGTACTAAAACGTTATTTTTAGAAGCAATAAAAAAGTCGTCCCAAACGAAGCCTTAGGATTCATTTGGGAAGGCTTTCTTACTACTTAAAATGATTTTTTAGTACTAAAATTTTAATTTTTCTACTAGAAAGCCGCTTGAAAAAGCAGGAAGAAATTTGTCCCAAATGAAGCCTTAGTTTTAAGATAGACTATTTTTTTCTAGTAAATGCAGTTAAAATCAGAAATAATTTATAGTTGTCTAATCAATTAAATTGCTTGACTATATGCTAAAATCATCAATTTGACTTGAACCTTCAATAAATCTAATTGATATTCCAATTTTGAATATGATGGTAATATTCAAATGGAATGGCCACATAGTTGGTTTCATTTGAGATAGTTTTTTTACTGCTTCTTAAAGTAGTTTTTTAGTTCAAAAAATTTTTGTACTAGAAAGCTGATTTAAGAAGCAATAAAAAATCTGTCCCAAACAAAGCAAAAATTCAGCTTTAATGCATTATAGATTAGATTAGATGGCACTGAAACTATACAGTTTGTAGAAATCCAGGGGAGTTCATAGAGAACTTACCTGACAAATGCTACACTTTCGTTCCATCTCACTAGAGAAATGCCTATCAAAAATTGTGTGCTTCACTTTTTTAATAAGACAAGCAATTTCTTCTTCCCTCAATCCAGTGCTAACATGTCCAATTTTATCACCAAGTTCAAGAAGCTCCTTCAAAATCACAAAACCAGATAAAGGCATGTTGCACTGTAAGTAACTGAATCACATATAGGGAAAAGATAAGATACCTCATATGTCATATTGTCTACATCAAGTCGCCAATTCCTGTAATGGTCAAATGAATCCCCTCGTCCAAAGGAGATTCTATTTTCAAACAACATAATCTGCTTAAAATTGTTTAGTTAGAAAAATATCGATGCAATTCAGTGTTCATCATTCAGTTACAAGTCAACAAAGCCCAGCCCAGCCCAGCCCTTTCTAAAATAATGTTATTCTAATATAGCATGTAATCTTCTCATTTTTGTAAATCCTAGATTGAGATATGGTTAAGATTGTTAGGAGGGATTAATCTAAGAGAATATTGTATTCATTTTGTGAGATATTTGAGATCTTCTAGTTTCTTGTATGTGAGGTTGGGAGAGCTGCTATATTTATGTATTCTCTCATCTATAAATAACAACCATTGGTGACCTCACAAAAGCTCACACAAAATGCACTCCGCAATATAATGAAAATAGGGAAGAATTGATTAAAGGAAAATCAAGTGATAGAGGAATTGATAGAAAGAGGGATTAGATTGCTACTATTTAAAAATATAGAAGAGTTTGGCCTCTTGCTACAAAAACGGTAATTGGCTATTGATAAAGAGAATCAGGTGGTCGAGAATGTGTTAACTGTTTTGATGAGGTTGATTGAAAGGAAGCCAAAGGATAGAAAAAGGGGGGAAAACACTAATATATTCTCCTTCTTACACCATCATGATCTTTTTTAATTCTTAGAGCAACTAGATAAACTCTTAACCCTAAATTTATTTTGGTAATTTTGTGGTGTTATTTGTAGATAAATTACGACACTACTAAGTGTTGTAGTGCGAGCTAATTAAAATGATACTTGAACCAAAATTAATTTTGTTCTCCCTTTTCCTACATGAGAATTTATAATAGTTCATGTAGACTATGTTATGCTAGTGCAAATTAATAATACTTCTTGCAAAAGTATATTAATCTCTCTCTCCTAATAAGAACTTAATAGATAAGAAGTTTGTGAGGTTCATACTTTTTAATTATAATTAGTGGGAGGAATATTATTCTTACTACATTGAAGATCTAATTGCCCATACATGATCTTCTTGATAAAATTATTTGATGGTGGATTGGGTGAATTGAGTTAATGAGATATTTTACTCAACTCAAAAAATAACAAGATTATTAATTTGGCAGACGGGCCATTAAAATGTATATTTCTAGCAAAGGTTTAAAGGAGCTATGGAACATCATGCATTGGAGCAAAAAATATCAGTGTCATGATCATAATGTTGAACTGCTTGTGATCTCTGTTTGATACTTTGATAGATGATTCTTTACTATTTAAGAGATAGAGTGATAAACATAAATTTTTTTGTTAAGAGTGTATTCATCAACATTTATTTATATGTTTTAATTATTGATAATATATTGCCGAATATACTTTAATTATTCATAGTAATTCATGTAGTTATTTTGCTATATAATATGATAGTTATGTTGGGAAATTTTTATAAGTGGGCCCATATACTTATACATATAAATAAAGTTTTATACATTAGAAGCTATCTAAAATTAAGGCAATTAAATTCGTGATCTATTTAAGTATTAAATTATTAATTGGCTTATGTGACATCTCAATTAATTTTGTATGTAATTAATTTGTATAAAGGCCGAGTAATTTATTTTATTTTAATGATGGGATGAACTAAAATATTTACACTTAAAGTATAAAAGGATCGTGATCCCCAGTTTAAGCGGTTAAGTTCTTATTTCCCTCATTTCCCATCTTGAGTGAAAAGAAGGATTTTCTCGCTCTCTTGGAGAACGCCACTCTAAACGTGGAAGATCGAAAACCTCAATTCTACATTTCAATGGATTCAGATACGCTTTCGAAAATTCTTCTCGATGATTTGGCATGTCATTCGAAGACGATCGAATTATTTTTTCTGTCTCCAATAAATCCTAACAAGTTATTAGTTAGCTTTGATAGGCTATTACAGAAATTCTTAAGAATTTTATGCACATTATTTTTATCACTAAAACATATTTATGACCCATATAAAAAAGGAACTATGTTGATGCACAAAAGATTTTGATCATAATAATTATAAAATCCTCATTATGGAACCTTTATTGTCATATAAAGTTTATTAAATATGAGCATGTGTGTATGATAAACTAATTGTTGGTAAAACTCTTTTAGATAAGCTAGCCATGCTGATAAATCCTCAGAGTGATGGTTCTTTTGGGAAGCATTAGATTTTCATAGGTTTGTGAAAACTTTCCTAGTTCAGGGGATCTTACTGGAATGACTATGAAAATAAATAAATAAATATAAAATTATTTTAATAATAACTTATGATTCAGTTATGGATGTATAAATATAGTATACATGTTAGTGTTATCACTTTGAATGCAATAATCATCTATTTTCGTGTATTTTTTATGAACTCTACAATATAATAAACATCATAAACTGAATATCATATTTAAAAAATCTTATATTTTATATGTTGTCTATAATTGTCACGATATTTTATGCAATAATCATCTATTTTAAAAAATCTTATATTTTATGCAATAATCTTATACCTTTTACTACTTCTGTCCTTTTCATTAATCATATTTATACCTTATGCCTTGTTATTTATGCTTTAATGGATAAATCTTGCTTGTTGAGTTTGTTTCTTGTAAACTCATACATATTATTTTATGATTGTCATGTTATTAGTTGTGCTTCATCTGAAGCAGAATCTCTAATGCTTTAGATATGTCATTAAAGAGAAATTATATTGTTGATTTAATAGTGATTTATTCTTTGATGAGTTCATGTAGCAGTTAAATTTTATTCATAATTTGATTAAGAAAATTAGTGAGTGTTATTAAATTTAGATGCTTTGATGATTTTATCGGTGTACAAACATTATTGAGCAAATGTTTATACTTCTTGAAAATAAATTCCTAATTTTTAACTCATCACATCTTGTTGGATTTCTATGACTTTCTTCCAAGCCCAATGGGCAGGGTGTGATAGGATGTGCATCACTCGGCTCTTACAGAAGTAGCTATGGCTTTTTTCTCCTCTAATTTTATTGATCTAGCTTTGATTATAGCAGGTTTTTACTGTCTTGCGATGAAATGATGCCTTATCCTTGAAGGGTTGTAGAAGAAAATCACAAGCAATATAATAGAACTAGTAGGAAAGTAACCGGATGACCATCACACCCTCATCATAAGATGTGTATCACTCTTAACCACAACAAATGATGTGTGTTACTCTCCAAACTTACCATTGAGCTAAATTTGGAGAAAAAGAGAATAATTTCAATTTATATTTCAAAGTAGTGAATTACACTTTAGAATTCCATGGTTATAATTTTTATACACAGATGCAACTTCTAATTAGGTCAAAAAATAAATAAGGCCTAATGATATAGGATGAAAGTCATTATAAATCGAATTATTTCTTTTGAAAATTGAAAAAATAAAATCCCTCACAATTCGTAATGCTGCATAGAAGCCAAAGCAAGCATTATTCCCTGGGATGTTCTAATTCAGGCTAAATGAGGGATTTGATCTAATCCATCCAATTTTCCAAGTAATTCTCGGTCAAATCACAAAAATTCAAGGTAGCCAAATCCCATTCATAGTTTAAAAATCATTCGAGGCGCAAGCCTCGAGGCCCAGAATTTTTATTGTCTCAGGTTACCTGATGTAGAGATACATCAGGTAGCCTATAATATATTACCGCGCGGCCCGACGACCCGACCCGGAACGAATATGCTCGGTATTGCTAGGTACTACTCGATATTTGCTCAGTACTTGCTCGGTATTGCTCGGTATTTGCTCGGTATTGCTCGGTATTTGCGGTGTTTCGTCGCTTGAGTTCGGGACGGAGCTTCAGATGCGAGTCTCGTCAGGCAGTGTGAGAAGCCGGTGGCGTCGAGGACGACGGAGGTATTAGCTCGGTATTTTCATCTTCAAATGCGAGGTCTCGCTCCAGGGGCTCGGGTGTATGGGCATGTCCGCCTTCTACGGCCCGGCCAAGCCGGAGAAAGACATGATCGCGCTCATCTATCACGCCGTTCGTTCCGGCGTCACGTTTCTTGATACTTCCGACGTCTACGGACCCTTCACCAACGAAATCCTCCTGGGAAAGGTTTTGATCGGCATCTTATAATCCTCTTTTAGTGCTTAGTGTTTTAGCTGACGGTTTTGCAAATTGCTTTGCACGATTGTTGTTCAATGTAGGCTCTAAAAGAAGGGCTTAGAGAGAAAGTTGAACTCGTGACCAAGTTCGAGCGAGAGAGGAGTTTGGAGTTGGCGTCGTTGATGAAAATACCGAGCAAATACCGAGTAGTGCCTAGCAATACCGAGCAAATACCGAGCAAATACCGAGCAAATACCGAGTAGTACCTAGCAATACCGAGCAAATACCGAGCAATACGCGAACATAGTAATCCCGGATTTGTTCCGGGATGGGTCGTCGGGCCGCACGGTAAAGAGTAAGAGCACGTGACGATATATTATAGGCTACCTGATGTATCTCTACGTCAGGTAACCTGAGGCAATAAAAAAATTCCGAGGCCCGACTCGAACTTAGGCATATAGAATGAGGGCCTCAAGGCTTTAGTGCCAGTGAGGCTTGCCTTTTTTTTAAATGAGGCATACGCCTCACGACTTTACACCACGATGCATTTTGAGGCAGCACCTCATTTTTATTAAATTTATAATTTTTTATTATATACTATTATTTATTTTATTATACAAAAAGAAGGAATAAATTAGCTATAGAACAAATGAATAATTTTTTTTTTTTTTTATTAACTCCCCCCCCCCCAAAAAAAAAAAAGTTTTTAGAACAAATGAATAAATTGAATGACTATGTTATGTTAATAAAGATTTGAAAGATAAACACTTCAAATTATAGAAACAGATAATTGGTGATGAAATAAATCATTTTGTGGCTAATGCATATTATCTAATGATGAATAAATAATAGAAAAAAAAATAATGAAAGATTTAAAATTGAAAATGGAGGAATAAATTCGATGTGGAGAATAAAAATATTAGTGCTAATATTAAAATGACTACTTAATTGGTAATAACTTCTACTTCACAATGAATTAAAAAAAATATAGCAAAGTGGAATTCAAGCTTTAAAAATATATCAAATGGTGATTTAAATATAATGAATTATTTTGTTGTGTTTTTAATTTGTTGTTTTATTGTACATTACATTGAATCCAATGTTAATTAATAAGAGTTTTAAAAAACTAAAAAAAGTTATAATTGAAGAAGATTTAGAAGATGACAAGACAAAATTCAAGAATGATAAAATTACTATTATAAATAATATGAAATTAAAGATGAGGCCATCGTAGATCATGATCTTTATTGTCTATTTAAATTTTAAATGAGTGTTCATTTTGAATCTCCTTTCAAACTTTCATTTTATAATAACATTTAATATTGAGATTTATGGTTTATATCTTTATGATTATGAATCAAATAAATAGGTTGATGTTTAATTTTTATTTTTTTATTAATTATTTATAAGTTCATGTGTTTTTTATTTTTTATTTTTTAGACTTACATCTCGATCCACCACAAGGCTTACCTCTCTTTGCTAATACAAAATGCCTTGGTTTCCGATTTTGTCTTTTTAAACCTTGATCTCATGCAATACTTTTTGGATCCAGCGGAATTCATATCCAACCAAACATAATAGTATAATACTTAATAAATTTCTCTTTGACTCGATGCTATAACAAACTTGGATCTCCTTTATGTCGTATACTCTTCAAGTCGAGCACTTTAAGCCTTGAAAAGTCTCCCCATCAACAAAAATCTCTTTATGTTACATATTCTCTCATATAACCAAGAAGCTTAATTTTGTATGTTTCTCCAAAATTTGATGCCCCAACCTGAATCACAACCTCTTCATATTTATTTTCTTCAAAACTTCTATCAAATATACCAGCATCAATAAAAGAATTTTGGTTCTCCAAAGCTCAAAAGCAATAAACTTTATAATCTTCAACTATGTTGTAGTTGTATTATGCAAAACTCATTATGATACAAGTTGTTAGGAAAGTGTCTAACTTTTAAGCAAAACCATCAACCAAGAGCAAATACAATGAACCACAAGATAATTATAAAAGAAATCAAGTAATACAAAATTAGAGCGTATACCTTCCTATCTTTATTTCTTAAGAAATTCTAGACAAGGTTTGATGTTGTGGAGGCCTTCATGCTTGGGTCCTATTGATATATTCTCTTCGTATAGCTGCATCATGCATATAGCACAATGATAAGAACAGATTTAAAAAAACCTCAATTTCACAAAATTCAAGGCCGCACATGCATCCTAAGAAGTCTTGGGATTCTTTATGTAGCAAGACAACCGAAAAGGGAAATCTATTGCGCACAATTCCTAATAGAATATGAAATTTGAGGTAGGAGTGATTCTTTAGGGTATTCTAATCTACATATACGATGGATGTAATTCGATGTAATCATCTGATCTCCCATGTGATTATAATCCAAAAAAGAAATATTTTAGACATCAAAATCACGTGCAATGCTCTTCAGATCCAATGCAATGCATGTCACACCAACACAATACTAATGTGTCAAAATGCCTACCATTGTTTTTAATGGGCATAATGTAAGACAACTAATAAATCTTCCAAGAAATATGCTAACAATAAGATTGGTAATCAACCCACCATTAAAATTATACACCTTTCTTCCTTACATCCTACCTTCATGTCTCTTTAATCTTTATCACTGACCATATGTTTGAGTGATATTACGTTTGATCTCTATAATACAAGTATCAAGTTTAAATCTTACATGTTTCAATTTAGAAATAATATTTTAATGTGACCTATAGGCTTCTCAGACAAATGCATTTAATAAATGGTTTTCTTATTTTTCTTGGTTTATTAACTATGCAGTTATTATTTGGATTTGGAATTTCTGTATTTACACTGGTGTCTATAAAGTATAAACTGATATAAGCTCCATATACATGTGTATTTGGATGAATGTAAGTTATTAGTATTGCGACCATTCAGCTCTTAAGCTGCCACAGTTTTCAATGAGGCCAGGTGGGGTGTGAAAATATGTTCAACCAACGTCCAACAGACGAGGAAAAGTACGTCCAATTGTCCCTCTTTCATATTTGTAATGAATATTGGCCCAATTACCCACCGTTGCTTAGCTTGGTTGGTGGGCGAGTACGGTTGAGAACCCTCCAACTCGTGCTTGATTCCCCTCGAGCGGCAGCGCCTCTTAAGTGGGGCCCAATTCAGTGCGGGCCAAGAGGTTTTTGGGGTGGATTCCTCTTCTAGGTCAGCCGAGGATTAGTCACGCTGTCAAGCGCCCTTTCAGGGGTGGTAGCTGGTGGATACCCCTTTCCCAATAAAAAAAAAATATTGGCCCAATTGATAGCGTGTTCTAGATAAGAATGAAACACAGACCAATTTTTTTAAGATGTTTAAACAGGTTACGCAATTTACAAAATATGCATATACATACAAACATAAGCATGAAGACATTCAAATCTCAAAATAAAATTCCTTGCTTATGCTATCATCTTATTGTTATTAAAATTGAGAAAATGAAAGAGACAAGCGAACTGACTAAAGCATAAAGAATTTCCTTTGCGGTCCCGTTGCTTCTATTCTTAGCCTCATTTCATTTTTCTGCCTTGTGGCGTGTTTAGAACTAAATTGAATCGAATAAGAAAAGCCCTAAAACATAACAGTCATAGGACATTATGTGAACGAAAAATACAGAGTTCTTATTTTGAAAGTTTATAGGTCATTAAGAGATCAAATTAGTGAGGCAATAAAGTTAAAATTGACTAGGACAGAATATGCGATTGCACCTCTTGAAGCCCCACAGGAGGACGGCAGTAGTATCCTCGCACATGACTATAGTGTCGAGATGGTATGAGATCTGATCCAAAGAGGGATGCTTGGAGAGAAGAGAATGAATCCGCCAATGTTGAGATCTGTTCATTGTTGCAGCCCCTACCAGAAGAAGTCCGCTAACACCAGAAAATCGGAAACAATGTTATAAAAAAATAGTGAAATCAATAATGCATTTCATTCGGAATAAATCAATAATATCCAACTTTATAATAGATTTAAACAAAAAAGTGAAGTCGTGCAGATGCCAACTTAAAAGACTATCAAGCAAAAGAAATGTCGAACTAAAAGAATACAGGATAATACTATTAATCATGTGATACATCTATGCCAAAACCAAAAACGACACAAATGAAAATACCGATAAAAATATAGAAATACGATAAAGCAAGAACCGATAGAAATAAGTTTTAAAGACATGCCTCCCTCAAAGCCCTCTCTGCGTCACGCCTGAACCCTCTTCCAACCACATCGCGTTGTGAGACCACGCAATCCACCGAGTCATCAACTGCTGCGAGGGCAATGCCAGGGGCACACCACACGTCTGCGACCGGAGCCACAAGGGTAGACGAATGCCTCTCCTTATTTTTCTTCTTGGTCCTCCGCCGCAAAGTTCGCTTTCCTTGCCAATCCGCCGACGAGCGAACGGCGGCAGCGGCAGTTCCAGGGGCGCATGCCTGGGACGAAGCCGACGAGGCGCAACCGAGGCCTAGGAAAGTCGGGGAAGCGAAACTTTTCCTTCTGTCTCTGTCAGTGGTCTCCGTCTGAGGAGGTGGTCGAGAGGAGGAAGGCAATGTCAGAGCGTTTTGATCGGCAGAAGTGACTGCGGGCTTTCGGAAGCGTAAGAGTCGACGAAGGTTCCGACGGCCCGGCGATGGCAAGGTGCTATTGGCGGACGCCATGAAGAAGAAGAAGGAGGAGGAGAGAGAGAGAGAAGAAATTAAGGGCCTAGGTTTGGCTGGTAGGCGCCATTATTGCTGTTTCGAATCGGAGGGACCGCCGTAGCAGCAGGGCAAATTATTGGGTCAGGTGACCGAAGCCATCTCTCCGTTCGGTCGCCAATAAAAATGCGCCATCTGTCAGTCGTTTTTTTAATTTAATATTAACGCTTTATGTCTTGTCAGAGTTAGCGACCCGACCCGATAACGCTATTCTATTGGCGAAGAAAGAATGGAAACGCCGCGCATTTTATTTTCGAGCGACATTTTCACTGTTACTCGAGCTCTCGGATTCCTCCATTACCTTCGGTTCTGCATTTGCTTATTCCTGCCGGAGGTAGACGACGATACTGTAGAAGACCAGCAATCAGGAAGAGGTATGGTTGCGCCTAACTTGCGCTTTACTTGCGCTTTACTTGCGCTTTCGTTGCGTTAAAGTTATATTGCCGTTAAATTTTAGGGTTTGGTTTACTTATAATTTTACCAATGTTTCCTTTCAAATATTTATTTTCTGATTTTTCACGCTTCTTCTCTTCGTAAATGGATGAAGCAAATGATACGAAAGGTTTACGCTATCTTCTAAGTTTTAGGGTTTAGTAATAGTTGTAAAACTAGAATATATGTTCAATGTGGTTTTCAATTTTTTGGTTTTTTTTTATTTTAAACTTTTTTAAGCTAAATAATTACGAAATATAAGGTTGCGCTATGGTTGCGCTATGGTTGCGCTATGGTTGCGCTATGGTTGCGCTATGGTTGCGCTATGGTTGCGCTATGGTTGCGCTATGGTTGCGCTATGGTTGCGCTATGGTTGCGCTATGGTTGCGCTATGGTTGCGCTATGGTTGCGCTATGGTTGCGCTATGGTTGCGCTATGGTTGCGCTATGGTTGCGCTATGGTTGCGCTATGGTTGCGCTATGGTTGCGCTATGGTTGCGCTATGGTTGCGCTATGGTTGCGCTATGGTTGCGCTATGGTTGCGCTATGGTTGCGCTATGGTTGCGCTATGGTTGCGCTATGGTTGCGCTATGGTTGCGCTATGGTTGCGCTATGGTTGCGCTATGGTTGCGCTATGGTTGCGCTATAGTTGCGCTATAGTTGCGCTATAGTTGCGCTATAGTTGCGCTATAGTTGCGCTATAGTTGCGCTATAGTTGCGCTATAGTTGCGCTATAGTTGCGCTATAGTTGCGCTATAGTTGCGCTATAGTTGCGCTATAGTTGCGCTATAGTTGCGCTATAGTTGCGCTATAGTTGCGCTATAGTTGCGCTATAGTTGCGCTATAGTTGCGCTATAGTTGCGCTATAGTTGCGCTATAGTTGCGCTATAGTTGCGCTATAGTTGCGCTATACTTGCGCTATACTTGCCCTTTACTTGCGCTATACTTGCCCTTTACTTGCGCTATACTTGCCCTTTACTTGCGCTATACTTGCCCTTTACTTGCGCTATACTTGCCCTTTACTTGCGCTATACTTGCCCTTTACTTGCGCTATACTTGCCCTTTCTATATATGATAAATTATAAAATATTTGATTTAAGTTAAAATTAGTATTTTTAAAATATTATATATAATATTAAACATATTTAAAGTCTATTTTAATATATTTTATATTAGAATATTCTAATATAACTTTTTTAAGAGAGAATAATTAAAATTATCCTCCAACTGTTTATAAAATATCAAAATGGGTCCCAATTATTTAAAATCTTATTTATGTCCAGCTTTTAAATAAGGATCTTAAATGGTCCCACGAAAGGACTAATTTAGTCCCTATTTAAAAGGTAAGAGATTGAGCAAACATTTTTATATAGTGAGAGACTATTTTGATTATTCATAAAAAATTAGAGCCTCAATTTGATTTCATTTTTTTAATGATTTACAACTAAATCACAACTAATTAGCATTCATACATTGCGCTTATTAAGCTTTAAATAAATAATTTTTTTTTATGATTGACACAAAACTCAAAAGTCCCAACTTCAGTTGCCAATACTTCTCTTCAATTTTTTTATTTGTGAGCCAATGCAATAATGGCTACAGTTATTGGTAGCTATCATTAGTGTTTATAATGTCTCTAATTGGTACTGTGTCCAGCAATTAAGAAGTCATTGAGACTATGAGATTAAACAGTTGGAGCAACAGTTGACCTCATGTGCATTGAGCCCATCAATGATATGCAATTTTCATATATAGAGTTGCTTAACAAGCTGCTGTTGCCATACACTATGCGTGTTCATATTATGCAACATTCCATCCACATATTTTACAATGCAGATAATCCACTCAAAATATGGTTTTCTATAGTGTTCTTGGAGATCATTTTAAGTGGCTTAGGTTTCGTTTTGGAGTGATTTTTTTATTGCTTCTTGAATTCTTAGCTTTTAGTAAAAATAATGCGTCGCTCAAATGAAGTCGTAAACTTCATTTGAAACGGCTTTTTATTGCTTCTTAAATCAGCTTTTATGACAAAAATTAAAATTTTTGTACTAAAATGTTTCTTTAAGAAACAGTTAAAAATCTATTCCAAACGAAGCCTTAATATACTAATCATTTCACACTGGAGTTTGGCATACAAATTATATGTTGTGTGGAATCTAATTGTGTTGATTAATCCGGTTATTTTGTGGCCTCGGATCTCAAGTTTCTCATGCTCACTGGGGGGTGCAGGGGATTTAATTTACCGTGATTTTTTTTCGTACAATGCCCCAACATTGTGTACCCCAGCGCCACGGTGCTATGTACCGGAGCGGCCCTGTGCTGTGTTCCCAAGCACCATAGTGCTAAACAACAGAATGCGGAGCACCACAGCGGTCCAGATACGATGTCACCAAATTTTCTTGATAGTTGTGCATGAAAGAAGATAAGCAATGATAGAGAGAGAGAAAAGAGATATGTACTTATTTCTCCTAATTTTCATAGTGAATTTTTTGATGTGGTGTGACTAGGTGGTTTTTTTCCATATTTTGAGTTTTTTAATGTTAAATTTCGGTGCCCTTTATTTTTCTGCTGCTTTGACTTTCTTACTTGTTCCATCATTGCTATGTTTACCCTTCTCATCTCCAACATTTCCATATGCTTCTTTAGTGCTTCTCAAAGTTGTTTGTGGTGAATTATAAATGAAAATTTGATGAATTTTTGTAGGAGAGTTAAGAGTGTAAATTTAAATTTTAACTATAAAAAAGAGTTATTTAACTTTTGATAAAAATAGAGTGTGCAATTTAAGAATACTTGATCAGGCAAAAAAAAAAGAACTATCTCCAGTAGCTGGATAAGCATAAAGCCTTATAAAGCAAAAAAAAAATTTCATAAATACAAGCTGTAGTGCTAGGTGCCCTAGAAAACAAAGGAAAACTACTAGTAGACTAAACTTAGCCCACATAATTCAATCTAATGAGTCTCCAAAATTTGATTAGTGCGATTCAACAATGCACCTAAACTAACAAACAATGAGAAGCACAAAATAGAAGCTCCAGAAAGCTCTCACGGGAACTAGTGCATAAGAAAAAATACTGTAAGATTAATAAGCATGCATACAAAAATCCTGGAAAAGACCACTTAGAGAAACAGTAATAGAGGATTCAATTATCTCCAGAATTTTGGAAATTTTTTAACATATGATGCACCTCTTAAGTGTAGAGACATCAAGCCTTTATCCTATTATACGAGGTTGATAAGTTTAAATTATATTATATTTTTACATGTATTTTCATCCGTTTAAATGTATTATTTTAATTATTAATGAGCTGAAAAAATTCAAAAATGATAGAAAATCTAAAGTAAAGTATAGTGTCGCGGCGTCAAAATGATCGTCAGCTTGCCAGTGCCGTGTTCACTGTCTTCAAGCGCCGCGGTGGCACAATCTATTATGCTTTGATGCCAAAGTTTCCATCAAGCGCTGCACCATTCGAAAGTCATCAGCGCCGCGGCGTAGCAATTGTAACTTTCAATGAACACAATTTGCCAGTGAAGTGATGCGACTGTTTATTAAGTAACTGTTCTTCATCAGTAAGTGTCGCAGCGGTGCAGAAGTTCCAGAGCCGAATAGTTAATTCATTTCAAGGGAGTCGCAACGCCACCCTTTCAAGCACCACAACACTACCTTCTATTTTTGTGTTGTCCAATAAATAGTAGCGATGTGATATGTTTATAAGAAAGTTCAATCACTTGTCTAATTTCAGCATTTTTCTAAGTATTTATTTAGATCTCTCTTAAAGTCTATTCAAAGGGAGAATAAAAAAATGCTAGATACAATCATTTGAGTGATTAGTTAGTGTTTGTTTGAGTAGCTCTATACGTTAAGGAAGAATGTGTGTAAAGGAGATACATTGATCTTTACTGGTGATATCACTCTCTTGTATTTTTGTTCTTTTATGACTTCAATGAAAATGAGTTTACTTATTTTTTTCTTTCATGTTTCAATAATTCTCCCGCTTTGAATTGATGATGTAGAGAATATATTAAGTAATAATGAAGATTTTGGTGCTATAAAGCTAAATGATATTTTCAATATTTATTCACTCTTTATTTAACGCACATAATGACCATATGTGTAGTTAAAACCTAATATGATGTATAGCATCGACGGAGAAATGCAAGAACAATCATGAATATTGAATTAGTATATTTGCATACTTAGAAATAAGATGTTACTGTAGGAGATCAACCAGTGAAGCGACGCGACTGTTTATTAAGTAACCGTTCCGCATCAGTAAGTGTCGCAGCGGTGCAAAAGTTCTAGAGCCGAATAGTTAATTCATTTCAAGGGAGTCACAACGCCACTCTTTCAAGCACCACAACACTACCTTCTATTTTTGTGTTGTCCAATAAATAGTAGCGATGTGATGTTTATAAGAAAGTTCAATCACGCACTTTTCTAAGTATTTCTTTAGATCTCTCCTAAAGTCTATTCTAAAGGGAGAATAAAGAAATGCTAGATACAATCATTTGAGTGATTAGTTAGTGTTTGTTTGAGTAGCTCTATATTATTATTGCATATTGAAAACATTGTTGATTCATGTACGATATACAATAATTCCTTTATTTCATATCCTATCAATTTACAGGGCTAATATTCTTTATG